GAAATACGTTTTGATTTGTAGTTTTAATTAAAGCGCACTGTCCCCTTCTCTTCACCCAATTTGTACAAGACAGTGAGGTGATCTCATTTGGGACAAACCTTCTTTTATTATTTATGTTCCTTTCTAAAGATAGTCGATTGTCTTCTAGAATACTGTGTCTTTTGGATGCAGAATGTCTTTAAGAGAGGACTGTGAATCCGTTATGTGGCTGATGTTTTGCTCTCTGCTGCTGTGCTAGGATGCATGCATTTTACCCAAAGTTCATTGATTGAATGCCTATTTTAGTTTCCTTTTTTCCTAGGGACCTTTCCTCCATTATTGTGTACAGATTGGGCACTCAACTTGACCTGGGATTTGTGTTTGTTTAAGATAATCATTGACAAGGAAGCTTTTATATTAGTCCAAAATAGGCTGTCTTCATTCTGCTTGAAAGCCATCCGTAGTTTTCTTTACCTAGGAAACATCCAAGCTTCTCAGCATGGCACACAAAGGTGCCATGTCTCTCAGCCTCTCTTTTCTGGCCTCCTCTTTCACCTCACACTTCGTTGGCTTCATGACTGTTTTCCTTCCTTGGAACTCACCATACAGTTTTGTGTGTCCTTCCCTTTTTCCTTTGTTCTTGCTCTTTCCTCCACCTGGAACATTTCCTTCTTCTTTGCTTGGTGGACCCCAGACAGGGTTAAAGCACCTTATAGCTTCCTGAGGGTGTTCTGAGTATATTTACTTTATACTGAAATTTCTTCCTTAAATTTCTTTCATCTCAGATAGCAGACTTTACAAAGTGATATTATTCATTTTTGTGTCCTTGGAAGTTAAAGGATACCTGGTATGTGGTGGATGCACAGTAAATATTTGGTGTCCTAAATACTGAACTGCAGCTGCATGATAGCAATATGTTGAAATATGAGAAGTAAAATTTTTGTGGAATTTGTCAAAATTAACATCAACCACTACAATGTCAGAGTTCTGAAAAAGGATATTTAACATTAAGTAAGCAGCTATATTAATTCTCTTTTCAAAGTTGAATGTGGTTAGCCTACATAAAACCAAACAATTTTAGGTTAACAAAATAAAATTTTGGGTGTAATACTTTTGATCAATTAAGCTGTTTGGATAATGCAGACTAGGCATGATCTACTCTGTTCTCTCTCTCAAATAAATTTTAAATGTTGTTTATACCACCACCAGCACCTTGTTTAGCGTTTTTCTTGTCCACAGAATATTTTTTAGTCTGTTTGTTTTTCTTCCTTAGGATATTTTCTTAAAAGATGAGTGCCCCCTAGGGGTAAACTGTAGGTGCAGTGCTGTAGACACATTTTTAAAACACCCTGCAAAATTCCATGAGAATGGTGCGAAATACAGAAAATGCTGTTTCACGTTATATAACTCAAGTTATATAAGTGAATCCCCAAGTGTCTCATGATGCGTTTACTCTGTTTATCAATTCCTCTAGCACGATTTATTCAGACAGTTTTCTGCCCCACTGGGAGAAAATATCCAAAAAGAGAAGAAGGAATGTTTTATTAGAACCTAAACACTGAAGGTTAAGACTATTGGCAGTCAGTATAGTCATCTGTGAAGGGCGATTACCAGGCCAAATGTCTGTGACTCAGACTTAGGATAAAATAAAAGCTTCTCTGTGTAGGCTTAACTGTTTACTTTCCCTTCTTTTATTTCCCCTAAATTGCTCACTTGTTGGGATATTTCTCTAGAATCCCGTATTTTCCCCCTCAATTCATTCACTGCCATCCCTTCTCTAAAATGTTGATTTTTTGATAGCATTCTCTTTTATTCTATTCCTTTGTGGTGAAGAAACCGAGCTAACATTATAAAACACTTAGTGCAAGGCCAGGTACTTAGTAATACCTCATGGTATGTATATTTTTGTTGATAATGGTAACATTTGCATTTCAAGGAATTCAAAAGATGATAATAATGACATCTTACATTTTGTAGGGGACTTTCAGGCTGTGTTTTTAAAGTACTATTTCTGTAGAACCTCAGAAAATCACCTGAAGCAGGTAAAGCAGGCAGGATTGCCTGGCAGCCAATGCCTCAGGAATTTTTTAAGCCTCATAGAAGTTGTTAGCCTATTTCTGCATTTTCTTCTGAAATCCTTGAGAAATTGGCCGCAAGTCTTAAGGGTAGCTTTTCATTTTACATGTTTTCTAAGTTGACAGGTCATGGATTTAAAAACACAATATTTTGATTTTCAGGTGATAGAATTTTTGTTCTCTAGATTGATCTAGGAGGTATCTGTTTTCAAGTCTTTATTTTGCACATAAGAAAATGGGGGCCTAGAGAGCTGAGGCGGTTGGTGCAAGTCCACGAGGAAGGCCAAGGGCAGAAGCAGGGTGAAAAAGCAGGTCTCCTAATTCTTTTTTCCCTTGTCACAGGTTTTCTTGTTTCCTAATTTGGATTTCTTTGTCATAATATTATTATTATTCTCCTTCTCTAAACACACCTACTTTTTCTTCATTGTCGCAAAAATACGATGGTGAAAAGTGACACCTGGTTTTGGAAAGTTTCCCTGACGTGTAGAGGGTTTAGTTCAGTCTAGCAAGGCAAGTTGTGAAATTGCCTTCCTATGAAATAGGTGTTTGGGATCACACCTCACCTTTAACTGTTCCGGAGTGAGAAAGACATAGGAAGTGGGCTGTGGAGCGAAATATGAGTCATTATGCCCAGGACATGGGCATAGTGGACCTGAGGGCACAGAATTCTGAGCACAGGGTGTTACCTACTGTCTTGGGAGGCGCCATCTCTGTCATATACTTGGATTCCACTCTTCTGTGTGCGGAGGATGTTAGACCTGCACAAGAAAGCCATTTATTTTGAGAGATTAAGCAGCTAGCTGAGGATCAGAGCTGCATAATTATTGTTTATATAGATTTGATCTCTTAGTGTTCCCATTCAGGCACTTTTTGAGTTAGGCTGCTTTTTGGTTGACACTGGAGAGTCACCAAGAAATACATAGATTTAGATGCATTAATGTGGGTGATATTCACCTGCTAAGCTTTTCTGCCTTGTCTTTAAGTAGACCTTGGCCTTATGAGTTCAAGCTTGTTCCTTGGAAAGGGACTGGGTGAATTCTTACAGTGCTCTAATGTGTGAGTAGGAAATTACAGTACAGTACTCATTTTGCTAAGTGCTTGTCCACAGGGTATATGTCACATATGTCGTAGACATGTTCCTGAAAATGTCCTTGAAAATTGGCTTATCTATGAAATATAATTGAGAACTTGAGGGGGTGATCATTTTATGCTATCCCAAGGTAAGTATTCCAATGGAATGGATAATTCCTTTGTAACTTATTTGGGTAATAATAGATTTTCTAAATAAGGATTGCCTAAAATGTCTTATAACATTTTTTGAGAGAGAAATCAAGTATTTTAAAACTTTTTCTTTCTTATTTTGGTATAATCTTGTAACATCGAAGATTCAACTGGTAGTTCTTGAGAATTTAGGAAGTCAAAATAAAGTGTCAATCTGTAAAGTTAGAGACTTGGTTAAAAATAATTTAATTCACCTTCAGTTTTGCTGGCCATCTCCTAGGAACTATTGGTCGTCTCCTAGTTACTTTGTGGTGGTGCTGTTGTGCCTAAGTTTCATACTTTTACTGTTTGTGGTTAATGATGCCAAAATAGGTAAATGAGTATATATTAAAAGGTTCTTAAACTTAGGTGAAAAGTCTCAGAACACTGGATGTAGAAGTGAATCAATTTGATATGAAAGTACAAAGGGAATTTTTTCTTCATCAATCAAAAATATTCTCTAACACTAACAAAATAAATTGTAAACGTATTTATGGTCAATGAAGGTAATAAAATTTAATGGAATTTAAAGTTACTTTTTGGGAACGAGAGACTTACCTTGGAAGGTTTGCTTCTAGTTTTATATTAGGCTGTTTCTTGTTTGCTGTTTTATTGTCAGATGGTTTTGATCATAATTTTAGAGCTTTTAAAATTATTTTGTGCTGTGTATTCACTTGACATTTCAGAAATGCAAAAGAGTTTTTTCATATGTATAAGACCTTTTAAATATGTAGGGTTTGGACCATGGGTGAAGTAGGTGGGCTTCTGGTTCCTGCCTCTTTGTGATACGCTTTCCTTGGCTTCTTTCATGGGAGCAGCCCAGAATCACTAAAAGGTGGGAAAATAGAAATGTGCCAGCCCTCTGTGGAACAGCCATCTTAATAGCCTATGTTGACATTGGTCTAGATTTATAGTGGGCCAAGTGGTTATGGGAGCCATCCCTACTTAATAGGCTGAACGAAGCTTTTGGGGAATCTTTGGTGATTTGAGTTCTACAGTTACAGGCTTAAGTCAGGCCTGTGGAAGGAGGGACACTTTGAGTTTGAGTGTTAATTTTGTGCTAGTGACTTAGTTTTGGAAACACCACTACAAGAAAATTCGTGCTGTGAAGAGAGGAGGGTTTGAACAGAGGCCTTGTAACCTGACATAGGGATGGTTGAAAACTTTTTTTCTGAAATAATTAGAGGCTCATAGGAGGTTGCAGAAATAGTACATAGAGTCTCATGTACCCTCCATCCAGCTTTCCTCTATGGATTTTGAGAATGTGGAGTGTGTCTCTCTATATCCTTCATCCTATTGTGGACTAGACAGTAGGAAGACCAACTGGGGGGTAAAACTCTCCTCTCTTGCTAAGGTGACTCTAGTTGCTATAACAGGAATCATGAATAATGTCAGGGCATTGCCTCTGTCTAAAACATAGTAACCCTAAATAGTAGTCTCGGCTTGTGTTTACTGTATTAAAAATGTAATAATTATAATTGTCTTTTTGAATTCTTAATGTGAAATTCACTTTTTTAAGTTTAAGTTTTTCTAATTTAGTTTTTAAGTAATAAGAATAAAAATTTTTAAAATAGCTGCATATGAATATCATGTGAGGCATGTCTTGTACGTGTCCCCTTTTTGGCTTAAGAATGTTAAGGAGGATTCTGAGTTCTAGAACCGAAACTTTTGCTTTTCTCTGTGTAGGTTCGAAAGCATGTGAATGATCTCTATGAAGACCTAAGGGATGGACACAATTTGATTTCTCTTCTAGAGGTTCTTTCAGGCGATACCTTGGTAAGTTTTAAATTTTTTGATTTATTTTGGAGAACGTGTAATCTTTTCTGCATATGACCAGTGTGTTTTCAACACAGACTTCGGATTTTTTGTAGCAGTCATCTTTGGGCTGTGAATTCTGCCTAAAAAAAAAGAAAAAAAGAAAAAGATGTCTGATTAAATCTCTAAGCATTTTCAGACGTCAAATGCTGTGAATTTGAGAGATTGAAGCACTTTGATTACTTCGCTTATATAATCAGCTCTATAATTAAATTACTGTTTTTGTTCTTGCTTCTTTTTTACTTTTGAATTTTTCTTGCTTAGTGGAAGTTGGATGCATACTGTAACCACATATTAAAAGACTCACAAATAGCAAGGAAATAAACATTGCTTTCTGAAAAATGGTCTAACCCATTCCGAGGTGTCATTTCCTTTTGTTGTGAACATGACTTCCCTTTCTTGGTTACCTGTTCTCCTTCATTATGTTCTGTTCATGCTCTTCTTTTCATTTCTGGTCTGTCTTGTGTCTTTGCTGTCCTATCTTCTGTCTGTTATATTCATTAGCCAAGGGAGCGAGATTTTTTGAAGACCTTACGATTGGTGAGTGCAACAGAAGCATGCGCATATGAACAGCATGAGGATGTGGAGGATGAGGATAAGGGGGTAGGTGTCGGCCCCCATAACTCAACTAACCTAGCTGGTCCAGTGTGGTGAGCGCTAACCTGATAGAGAAGTAACTCCCGGGTTCAGCCTCCTCTTGAGAAAAGTAGAGAAAGTACCAAAGCCCACAGTGAGGTGGATGTGTATGTACCCAAAAAATGGAAATATTTTCTGTTTAAATGTATCTCTAGAGAGCTAAAATGATGTAATTATTGTTATTATTATTATTTTTGAGTTGGGGTCTTACTCCATTGGCCAGGCTGGAGTGCGATGGCACACTTACAGCTCCGGCGATCCTTCCACCTCAACCTTCCAAGTAACTGGAACTACAGGCGTGCGCTATCATGCCTGGCTAATTTTTTGATTTGTTGTAGAGACGAGGTCTCACCCTGTTGCCCAGCCTGATCTCGAATCCGCAGACTCAGGCAATCCTCTTGTCTCAGCCTCTCAAAGTGCTGGAATTACAGGCTTGAGCCGCCACACCCAATGATTGAATTATTAATACATTACTGTGCACTGCATAGTAATTGAACATGCTTTAATTATGTGATGGTATTTTAGCTAAAGAACTTCACATACCTTGTATATAAATATGGAAATCTTACAACTAGTCTGCTAATTTTTGTGCAAATTCCTGCCACTTTTGGAATTGAGATTTCCAACAAGGCAACTATCTATTGCTGCTTTTGAAGGAACTTAAGGAGTTTATTCAGTTTTTAGGTTTCTGCTTTATATTATATCTATTGGCAATAGATATAGGATGGACGATTTTTACCTGTCTAATGTGTCTCATGGTAACTTAAAAGAGAGAAAGACTTTAAAATCCAGTATCCCGCTAGATCTCACAGAGCTGTTTAATCTCCATGACATTTAGTTGATTGCAGCCTACCTTTGTGAGACAGATTTATTTTGTCTTATTCAACTCTAGTGGCCCCTGATTTCATTGAAAATTGTGCTTTTGTTGGATCTAGTGGGTGAATTTACCAACACCATTTCTACATGTCTTACAGAACTTATTTTCCCTTCTGTGGTGTGCTGTCTATTTTATTACGGCGCCTTTGGCTTCAGCAACCTATTTATGCTTAAGAAGCTAAGCAGTCGGTTATCTTTTTTTCTTTTTTCCCTTTGGAAGAGTTTATGTGATAAATTTCAGCTCCATTCTTTGTATTTTTGTTAAGCATTTCTCAGCTCTGTTTTCTTATGTTTTCCTTCATGCTAACTTGTAACGTTTCTTAAGGGAAACGACATTAAGGAAAATAACTCTGGTTTGTCACTTTTCCTGAGACTAAGAAACTAATCATGTCCATCCCCTAGCAGTATAAATCTAGTATAGAGTCCTTTCTGATTATTGTAGAGTCCAATTATGTGAAAAAGTGAAAATAAAATAAAGAGGAAATATATACAGGGCTTTAATTGCTTTTCTCTCTTCCTCTATCATGGCTAAGTGAACCTTGTCTGTCTTTCTCCTTCTTGGTGATTTTTATACTAACAGCATGCTACTTTACCTCATTTTTTCATTAATATGCCACATATATATATATATATAACTATTAAAATCCTCTTGCTAATAGTGTTTTTTAAGAAGGTAGAATGGGGGAATGGTATTTATTAGTTTTGTGCCTCAATAGTGAAGTAACTGTAGGCTACTTTTGTTACCAAATATAAAAAGCTTGTGTGTTCTATGACATTTTTTCTTTTCCTTTTGTTAAAATAAATTGGAATAAAGTAAATGTTTAAAACAAATTTGGAAAAAATTCCTAATAGTTTAAATTCAATCCCAAGTACCGAAGAAATTTAAAACTTCTTTAAAAAAATCTTATGACCTTACCTGAGCAGTAAGTATATTTAAATTAGCACGGTCTGTGGTATCAAAAACTGGTTTTCATACCTGTATTTTTCTATTCTTAGCCCAGAGAGAAAGGTCGGATGCGTTTTCACAGACTACAGAATGTACAAATTGCACTTGACTATTTGAAAAGACGCCAGGTATGTTTTTAAACAACTGTGATTATATAAACATACATGACTAAGTGCATCTACTAGAAACATATCAGGGAATTACAAGGTTAAATTTGGTTGAGAATTGTAATTATTAAGCTTGTGTTTTGGTGAGGCAAATATTTTAAAATGTTTTTAAACATTTTCTCCCAAGAAAAGGAAATTAATAGTAGGTGAAGGCCAGAGGAATTGTAAGTGGCTGCATTTCATCTACGTCAGAGCTACTGATTTTCTGTTTGAATTGGAATGCATTTGTCTAGGAAGTAATGACGTTTTAGTAGAATGTTAAGGTTGCCTATGAATTGTTCTTATTCAAGAGGAAGCAAGACTTTTACTTTTATTTTTTGAATCGGAGTCTTACTCTGTCGCCCAGGCTGGGGTGCAGTGGCACACTCACTGTCTCCCCAGCGTCGACCCGCTGGACTCAGGCGATCCTTCCCCCTCAGCCTTCCAACTAGCCAGAACTACAGGCACGCTCTACAATGCCTGGCTGATTTTTCGATTTGTTGTAGAGATGAGGTCTTGCCAAGTTGTCCGGGCTCTTCAAGACTTTTTTTTTTTTTAGTTGGAGTCTCACTCTGTCGCCCAGACTGGAGTGCAGTGGCTGCTCCCGGCCACCGCAGCCTCGACCTGCTGGGCTCCGGCGATCCTTCCACCTCAGCCTTCCGAGTAGCTGGAATTACAGCATGCACTACCACGCCCAGCTGATTTTTTGATTTATTGTAGAGATGAGGTCTCGCTGCCCAGGCGGGTCTCGAACCCGCGGGCTCAGGCAGTCCACTCACCTCAGCCTCCCAAAGGCGCGGGATTACAGGCTGAGCCACCGAGCCCGGCTGATAAAAATATTTAAAAAAAAATATTTTATATAGTACTTTTAACTTAGTGCTTTTTTAGTACTTAATAATTAGTTAACATTTTATTTTATTTTATTTTATTTCATTTTATTTTATTTTGAGTTGGAGTCTCACTCTGTCGCCCAGCCTGGAGTGCAGTGGCCGCTCCCGGCCACCGCAGCCTCGACCTGCTGGACTCCAGCGATCCTTCCACCTCAGCCTTCCAAGTAGCCGGAATTACAGGCATGCGCTACCACGCCCGGCTGATTTTTTGATTTATTGTAGAGATGAGTTCTTGCCAAGTTGCACAGGCGGGTCTCCAACCCATGGGCTCAGGCAATCCACTCACCTCAGCCTCCCAAAGTGTGGGATTACAGGCTAAGCCACCGATCCCGGTTTAAGTTTTTTTTTTTTTGAGTTGGAGTCTCACTCTGTCGCCCAGACTGGAGTGCAGTGGCCGCTCCTGGCCATCGCAGCCTCGCCTGCTGGGCTCCGGCGACCCTTCCGCCTCAGCCTTCCAAGTAACTGGAACTACAGACATGCGCTACCACGCCCAGCTGCTTTTTTGATTTATTGTAGAGATGAGGTCGTGCTGCCCAGGCGGGTCTCGAACCCGCGGGCTCAGGCAATCCACTCTCCTCAGCCTCCCAAAGGCGTGGGATTACAGGCTGAGCCACCGAGCCCGGGTACATTTATTTTTTATAAGTAGATAATATTTAATAATTTATGAGTGATTAAAATAAAACAACGTTTCTGACAATAGTCTCCAGCTAAATGTAATTTCAGGACAAATCATTGGAAAGAATTACAGCATATTGAATATGATCTTTATTTGGTGGCATTATATATTATAGTGAAATAAGCCAAAATATTAGTAATTTTTCAGTTGCTAAAGAAAAGGAGACAAAAATCAGGAGAGTTGAAAATGACTGAAAACAGTGAGAAATCAGAGGTAGCAATCATTTTGCTTTATGATGGCGTAGGGAAAAAGGAAGAGAAGCAAAAGGGGAGAAACACTTTTAAAATTTTCTCTTTATTTAGTCTGTTATGAACATTAAAATGCTCATAGTTATTAAATACTAGTAAGTGCTCAGTGCTTAAATATTTAAAATGTGATTGGTGTTTGCCTCATTAGTCTTCAGTCTAGTGGAAATTTCCAGAAGGATTAATGGTTAATTATGCCCCCTAGTCTGAAGTGTTTTTTGTCAGTGTTTTGTCAGGAAGTAAAATGTTAGATATCATGGTGTATAATTCTCAGTATTTAATATATGCTGTTAAATTCTTTTGTCCAAGAAGTAAATGTTAGAAGTCATCATTAAATTTTCTTACCCGAATGCACAGTTTGACAGTTGGTAAACATTAAGTCTAAATATTACATTTAAAAAAATATTCGAATAGCTTTCCAAATGCCCAATGACTTATATATGTATTTATGGTAGAGTGATAGAAAAATACGGCTAGTTGTTTTTTTTTTTTTAAATCTTGTGATGGAAGTGTGAGAAAGTCATTAAAATTATGGTTCAGAACAGTTTCCTACTTAATGGTAAGAGTGAAATAAAATTTCTTTTCCTTTTTTATTGAGTTGGAGTCTCACTCTATCACCCAGGCTGGAGTGCAGTGGCATATTCACAGCCACCCCATTGTCAACCTCCTGTGCTCCGGCAATCCTTCTGCCTCAGCCTTTCAAGCAGCTGGAACTACAGGCGTGTGCTACCACGCCTGGCTAATTTTTAAAATTTATTATAGAGACGAGGTTTTGCCAAGTTTCCCAGGCTGGTCTTGAATCCACGGACTCAGGCAATCCACTCACCTTGGCCTCCCAAAGTGCTGGGATTACGGGCTGAACTACCAAGCCCAGCCAAGTTTATTTTCAAAATACAGTTATTTCTTATTTTAAGATCTCAAGTATGTAGGACTTCTCACTTGAGTAGCATTTTTGTTTTGACAAGTTAGTGCTTTTTGTACTTGTTCTGGAAGACAAAACCACAGTAGTAGCTATTTTTCCTTTGTGGTTATCCTGTAATTTATAATCTAAAATGATTAAAAATATGGGTAGAATGATATTTGGCATTATGGGTATTAGAATTATTCCATTTTTTCTTTGTATAGTTTAGAATTATACGTTTATGTAGGTAAAGATAACTCATGTGCTGGTTTGATAAACAGTGTATCTTATCTCTTCACATATAAAACAGGTGAAATTAGTGAATATTAGAAATGATGACATAACAGATGGAAATCCCAAGTTGACTTTGGGATTAATATGGACAATAATTTTGCACTTTCAGGTAAGCTCAGTTTTTCTTAATTATCACTTGTTTTTGCCTTTCATTGCTAACTTTCAGGTGATTCATGTGAAGGGTGAATTATGCATTTGCGTCCTATGGAAAAATAAATTTCAAATGCTTTTCTTAAATAATATATTTGATTTGTTCTTTCAAGTAACTTGTTGATTGTGAATCTGGCTCCTAGTTTCAAGGACAGTGTAATCTCAGAGTTTGAAAACAGATTTGTTTAAAATTGAATTAAGATACTTTTTTTGTTAGCTTATCAGACAGTATGCCCTATTTTAGATACCTAAAGATTTTATGACTCTGTCCTTATTTAGAATGGTTTTTATTGGTATTATGGTTTCTCAGCTATGCCAACTATTTTTTCCTTTGATGGACACTAGATGGCAGTATAATTATCAAAAAGAGGTCTGATTTGGAAGAAAAGTATGCATGTTTTGTATAGAGCTATGCTTTCTCTATATTCGAGGAGAGTAAGTTCAAATTTATTAACTTTATCTTATTGTCTAATAAACCTGTGCCAATTGAGGACCGATTCTGATTTTGTTTTTGTTAAGTGATATGTTTAGAAAAATCATTTTTATTTGATTTAAGGTGACTACAACTTTGGAACTTGGTTTAGTTTATTAACTACTGGTCTGCTCAAGAAATGCTCCATGTACAGCACAAAACCTGACTTACAGCAGGGATGCAGTTCTGATTGATTATGTCCAGTTGGACCTATCTTTCTGATTGTTAACTAGTCAGAAGGAGGAAGAGATAGCTTGCTAGCTTCAGAAAGGCGTTGGGATTTTGAACCAAATCTTGAGAAGAGTAAGACTAAAAAAAAAAAAAATTGGCTGAAATATAGGTTGTGTAGGGGAATGGTGGAAAATAATGGAGCCCATGGCTCATTTGGGAACAGGATAGATCTGACAGGTGTGGAGAACTACAGGAAGTAGAGTCTAGGTAGATTCTAGGACCTGAACTGGCGTCAGTGAATAGTTTCAGCAGTAGGAAGTTGGAGGACACCCAGGTAAGCTGAGGAAAAGGTACTAGCCAGCCAGACTGCAGGCAGCTAATACAGGGAATATCCATTCAGCTGGACTGTTGATGCCAAGGAGAGCCAATAAGAACTGGAAGCCAGGACCCCAAAGGACTGAGGGCCCCCATTCTTGGAGGACCCAATTCTTAGGGGATTGAGGATACTGAGCACTGAACCAACACAGGGATTTGTGCACAGATCACAGAATCAGACCTTGTTATCAGAATAGGATAAAGTGCAAGTAGAACTGGCCAAAAAGTCAATTTCACATGGAGTTCCTCTATGACTTTCTCAGGGATCCTTTAATTAGTACTAAGCAGACTCGGTCCCAGAGCTTTTAGGAGAATTGAAACTGCAAGAACCCCAGATGGGAAAGTCAGAGGCTGATTGGAACAGGGGACCAGTCACTTCCTCACCACAGAGTGAGTGGGGCAGGCTGTGACTGAATTTTGAATATCCACTGATCACTGTGGGCAGTGGAAAACAATGCTTTGGAGGGAGGCAGAATTCTTTGCTCTTTTACTTATTGCTGTAATGGCATTGGGTAAGTCACTTTACCACTCAGAGCTCAAAAAATTGTGTTTTAGATACAGACTCTATAGTTTCTATATAAAATAGAGAGAAATGAGCAGAGTCCACAGTCAGAGAGATAAGCTAAGAAAGAAGCTAGGGTCGTTTCTCAGAATGGAGTGATACAGGCCTGGACTCAGCTGGGAATGAAAAATTGAATCCAAGAGGTGACATTTGGAAGGAAGAAAGGAGGGAACTTGGACACAGGTCATAGAGGATGAAGGAGGGGCATTTGTTAATGATGACTAAACTTTTCAGCCTGGGAGATCAAAAAGCAGTAGCCTGTGGAGAGACATAGGTGATGGTAAGGGGAAGACGAATGACCTTCAGGGTGGAGTTGATGGGATGTTCTGCATATCTGTCTGCTGAGCAGCTGGAGATGTGCACGGAGCAAGCTGAGAAGTCAGAGGTGCAGGTAGAAACTTGAGAGTTATCACCATGCAGGTACTCACTGATTCAGTCAGAGAGAAGGGGTCTTCAGAGGATTCAAGAGAAGAGCAGAAATAGAGAAGAGATGAGAGCTAAGGATGGAAATTTGGGGAAGACCCATGATTATGAGTGCAGGAAAAGTTCTTCTGCGGAAACAGAAGAGGAACATTTGGAGAGATGGATGAAGTAACAGGAAAATGTACGGGTAAAACCAAAGGAAGAGACTTTCAAGTAACAAAGAGTAGTGAGCAGTATGAGATCTCACTAGACTGTGAGAAAATTAAGAAGAAGTGCAGTTAATAGTTTTGTCTAAAAAGAAGACATTGGAGACCCAAGCTGCTGGGAGCAGAGACTAGAAATTGAAAGGTTAAAATGTGCATTAACAGTTGGGAATTAGAAGCAGTATATTTAGAGGCTAAGTTTGAGAAAATTTAATTCAAAAGTTTATTTAAAAAATTATATATTAATAGAGACCTTTTGGGTTTGGCTGTCTTAGGGGGAAGTAGGAAGAGGAGTCACAGAAGTATCAAATGAAGTTTTGCTTCTAATATCCTGTAGCATAATGTTAGGGAATTTATTGTACTTTTGTTTTGATTTAGGATCTCACTCTGTCACCCAGGTTGAAGTGTGGTGGCATGATCACAGCTTACTTTGACCTCCTGGGCTCAGGCGATCCTGCACCTGGTGAAGTTTTTTTGATCTTTGTGGAGACAAGATTTCACTCTATTGCGCAGGCTGGTCTCAAATGCCTGGGTGCAAACAGTCCTCTTGTCTTGGCCCAAAGTGCTGGGATTACAGCAAGGGCCATTGTTCCCAGCCAGGATACTTAAATTATAAGATGCTATGATTGTTAAATTATCGCCAATATTAGACCAAACTCTAGTTAAAATGGCATACATCTATGTTTTGGTAAAATGGAAGTATTCCTTCTTATTTAAATGAAAAAACTTTTCTTAGCACTATGATTACTTAAGATCAAAAGTATTTTCTGCTCGAGCCTATATTTCCAGCACTTTGGGAGGCCAAGGTGATTGCCTAAACTTAGGTGTTCGAGACCAGTCTGGGCAATTTGGCGAGACCTTGTCTCTACAATAAATCGAAAAATTAGCCAGCTGTGGTAGCTGGAACTACTAGTATAGTTCCAGCTACTTGGAAAGCTGAGACTGAAGAATCATCTGAGCCCAGCAGATTGAGGCTGCAGTGGCCTTGAGCGTGCCACTGCACTCCAGCCTGGGCGACAGAGTGAGACTCCAACTCAGAAAAACTCCCCCCAAACTGTAATCATCTTCTCTCAAAGTGACTGAGCCTTTTCCTTAATTTATTCAAACAATGGAAGCAATTTCAGAAGACCAAATTGTTTCATTTTAAAAGTATTTTGATACGAGCACAAGCTGAATGTGTTTCTCAGTCAGGCTTTCTGAAGGTTGGCATTATCATCACATAATCCTATCTCATTAACTGCCATATGCTAGCTCCAGAGATACTAAGGGAGAGAAGTACATTGTTCGGTTTACTGGGGTAATGTACTTGAAGTTAACTATAATCTAGAATCATGAATATTATTGGTGATAGAAATGAAAAATAGAAGTGAATAGGGAGATAAGATTGGGAAGGCATTAGAGAATAAGGGAGGTGCTGACAGATATTAGAGAGAGACTTTGCAAGATGAAGGCCACTACCAGGCAGAGAGTAAGGTTGGGCTATTGCTGGGAGAGGGGACAGCATATACGGCCTGAAAATAGGCAGCTGCTTAGTTTAGCAGGTGCATTTGTTTTGCACTGCTACAAAGGAATGCATAAGACTGGGTGATTTATAAAAGAACGAGATTCATTTGACTTATAGTTCTGCAGGCTACATGGGAAGCATGGCATCAGCATCTGATTCTGGTGAGGTCTCAGGAAGCTTTCACTCATAGTGGAAGGTGAAGGGAGAGCAGACATGTCACATAGGGAGAGCGGGAGCAAGAGGGGAGATGCCAGGCTGTTTCTAACAATCAATTCTCCTGTGAAATGACACAGGAGAATTCACTCATTACTATGAGAAGGGCACCAAGCCATCTCCATCCATGAGGGATCACCCCATAACCCAAACACTCCCCACTATGCCCCATCTTTAACATCTGGGATCATATTTCAACATAAGATTTGGAGGGGACATAAACATCTAAACTATATCTGCAAGGCTAGAGAGAAGGGTGGGAGGAATGTAAGTCACTGGTTGTAAGTCACTGGTATGAATGTAAGTCACTGGTATAAATACCAGCCATTGTACATTTCAGTTCTCTTGAATAATGTCCCATTGCCTTTGAAGACACTGAAAATCACAATAAAAGCAAACAAATCCAAGACCTTATCATTGCGCTTATTTTAAAGCTTGTCTTCTAGGCTATTCAGTTTTTGCCACTGGAGGTTGTTTAATTTTATTTTTAAACGATCAGTGAAAAGTTCACAATACAGGATCATATTCTGACAAGCATCATTGCTAACTTGACTAACTGAATATTCTAACTTAGTCAAATATTATGACTTCTATCTTTTGATCAGCCTAAAGACTGCCTAGAGACAAGCAATTAATTTTTAGTCGTTCAAATAATTTCTGCTTACGTGTAAGTCTGTTTCATGCCTTACTAATTTCCTTTTTACCGTATCTATGACTCAGTGTTAGAAATATGCACACCTTAGATAATCAGGTTTCATACTGATTTATTATTTTTCCAGTCAAGCCCTAGTAAAAATGCATAATATTTAACTAGGGTACAATTATAAACGTTGCATATATAGTTTAACTGCCTTAACTCATGTAGAAGAATGCACAGGTGTTTCCTTTGGCTAAATGTTCCATGCTTTAAGTTATATAATTTGTCTATTTGTTCTTATTAAGGTCCTAATGATCAGATAAAGCGATGGCTTGGAAATGTGTATTGTTTGAAACATATTACAAAATATTTGAAAAGGTTGATTTTAGAAACAATTTC